TCTTTTACATTCTTGCTATTAATTTTTTATCATTTACAATCAAGTTCAAGATAAACACTATCACACAGTTCTGAAAAAATTAAAAGAATATAAACTTTGCATAAAAAAAGAAAAATTCAATAAATCTAATTCACCCCTTTTTAGATTGTCTATCATAGTTATATTTGATATTATAGAAATACTTGAGTAACTTACGTGGATCTATGTGCTTCCAAGTATAAAATTGAAAACCATGCAGAAGATCCATCAGAAGTTTTGATAACAATAATGATGATTAAAGTCGATAGCAATAGCTTTCGACCTTGATGATGGTGACTTAACAAGAGAAACATCACATGCCTAATCAACAAAAAGAGAATCAAGATTAAAGTACTTATATGATCATGAGTAATCCAGTAAAGAATTTTGAAGTCTCAGATAAAGTGTGAAAGTTCGTCATGTCATGTCATGTCTGTCTGTCTTTCTAAGTAACCTGAGATTTGTAAAAGTAAGGAATAGCTTTTAAATACTATGGAAACTCACACACACGCCTTAAAACATCTTTTTCAAACATTTTTTATCTTAATTGTTTTCTAGGTCAAGTCAAGTGATTAAGAAGTTGTCTAATCTCTTCCCAAAGATTTTTTAACTAATTAATCGATTAGTAAATGATGTCAATCGATTGGAAAAACTTTTCTGAGCCATCCAATCGATTGGAGCATTAAGCCAATTGATTGGAGAAGGGTTAAACAATTCAAAAGATTAGGAGATCACCTTAATGACTTGCAACGACTCTATATCCAATATTTCCTTTTTGGGTATGAAAGTCGTTTAAAAAAGGCTTGGCCAATCGATTGGAGCATTATGAAAATTGATTGAATCATTAATTCTTCCCATGGATTATTTTCTATTTTGATTTTTCTAACTTCTATATAAAGGAAGCTCTCCTCCTCTTTATTTCATGCTACTTTCCAAAGCTTTACATTTTCTTTGGAATTTATATAATCCCATTCTCTCTAGAAACATTTTTCTTTCACTTAAAGGTGCTATAGTGTTTTTGAGTGAAACCCTGCTTGTGAGAAAGATTTTGGTGGTCATGTAGTTTATTTATTTCTTGAGAGTGTGGTTCTCTTGATAAGGTTAAATTTGATTCATTTGATAATGTAGTGATAAAATCTCTATTTTGATTTTATGGGCTTTATTGGAAAAGGTTTTGTCATCGGTTATTGAGATCGTCCTGAAAATCTCTCAGGAGGTTCATTAGCTTAACTTATGATAAAAGTTATCTTTGATTGGGGATAAACATATAAAAATCTCAAGATCAACTTATATAAAAGTTTCTAACTTATGCACTCACTCAAATAGGTTTCTAAGTGTGTATAAATGATTGTTTCACCATAGTATTTGGTGATTGTGAAAAAAATCTTTGAATTTTGGTGATTCAAAGTCCACCATAGGGTTTGTTGTTTGTGTATGTATTAGAAGATTGTAAGAAGATCTTTTTGAATACTTGTACAAAGATCTAACCCTAATAAAAAATTCTTCAAGTAATGTAGGGACTAGATGTACCTTTGGTTGATAATGGGAACTAGTATAAATCTTGTGTGTCTTTTACATTCTTGCTATTAATTTTTTTTTTCATTTACAATCAAGTTCAAGATAAACACTATCACACAGTTCTGATAATATTAAAAGAATTGAAACTTTGCATAAAAACAAGAAAAATTTAATAAATCTAACTCACCCCTTCTTAGATTGCCTCTCATACTTATATTTGGTATTAGAGAAAGATTAGAGTAACTTACATGGATCTATGTGCTTGCAAGTATAAAGCTTAAAATCGTGCAATAGATCCATCAGGAGTTTTGATGATGACAATGGTGATTAAAGTTGGTAGCAATAGATTTCGACCTTGATGATGGTGACCTAACTAAAGTAATCGTAAATTTTAAATACCACAATTCAACCCCCCCCCCCCCCCCCCCCCCCCCCCCCCCCCCCGTTAAGGACTAATCGTTTTAGGAGGGAAAATGTCTTCAAGCTATTTACTAAACAAACCATCGTCCTTTAATGGAGAAGGGTACAACTTGTGGAAAGAGAAAATGAAGGGATGGATCATGGTATTTGAAAGATTATGAAAGAAGTTTCATTTGTCCCTATGCATAAAGTAAATGGTGTTGTAGTAGAAAAACCTGAAAAAGATTGGACCAGAGATAATAAAGAGAATGTGTAGCGTTGTTTGAAATAAAAAAACCGGCATCATTATCGATCTAGGTCTTGATGACTTTTTGCGGGTTTCTTACTATGAAACTGTAAAAAAAAAGTGGGACATCCTCCAAATTATCTATGAATGAACTACTTAGATAAAGAGGACAATGTTGGACACATTAACCCATAAGTATAAACTCTTCCGAATAAAAAGCATAAGTCAAATGCAAATACAATTCACTCATATCGTGAGTTATATGATAACTCCAATGTTTGGTTGTGAATATTTTTTTGAATTTTTATCCGTATTTTTCTAGAAATTTAATACTTTTTATTTTAATTAAATATAAAAATAATTATTCTTAAATACTATTGATATCTCCCAATTTGAAGACCTGTATACTATTTTAATAAATATTAAAAATAATTAGTCTTAAATTTTATTGGTACCTCCCAATTTGAGGACTATTCCCGTGTACACAACTATTTTAATAAATATAGTCCTCAAATATACTTGGTAACTAGTCCCGCTAGTGATCTACCTAAATTATTCTAATATGCTTAATTAATATAAATTTTTAATTTTATATGTTGATTTATTTATTATTTATATAATTTATTTTAAAAAAATTATAATAAATATATAATATTAATAAAAGAAAATGATCTCAATAATAATTATGACAAAAATTAATTTAAAAACATGATAGTCATAACTCTCTTAAGCATAAATTAAATAGTCATAAAGATTTATCATAAATAATTAGTTTTAAATTTTTTGTCGTTAATTTATTTAAGGGATTAAACTCAAAAAAAAATTAAAAATTATTGTGCAAAATAGTTTGATGAAACATACTTGTGTTTGGGTATTATGTTTGAATGTAAGGAAATTGGATTTGAAGAAATAAAGTAAACAAAAAATATAATAAAAATAATGAAATAAATGCTCTAATTAAAGAATTAGAAAATAGATGTTTCATATATGTTTTCTTATAAATTATTTTTTATTTGTGAAGTGGATGTTCGAGTTCTATAGAGTATTAATAAAATTTATACACCCTTATTACATGAATGAAATAGATTTATATATTAAATATATCAATAATTATCGATAACAATCAAATTTTCAGCGTTCAACATGTACAATGTTACGTGAAGTTTTGTTCTCTGTTTTACTTCCACGTGTCTTCAAATCTTAAACTGCTGCAAACTGCTACCCATATCGACAACCGTCCTTAAATCTTCTGATTGTTTTTGTCGAAGATATCTTCGAGTCTTCTAACTGCCTCTGTCAAATATATGTTGAATCACTACAAACCTTTTCGAAATTCTAAACATATTTTAAAGAAAAAGTGATCATAATCTTACGATCTTTTCTTAAGATTCCTCCATACCAAACTTAGTAAATTTCTAAATCATCTAAACCTTAAACTTAAAATATACTAAATCCCAAAAAAAATTATAGACGAGTCGAAATCAACTGATCTCATAACTTTCTATCACACTTTCGTGTCAAAATTCTGAACTAAAATTTCCAAACTATTAAAATTAAGGCAGACTCGTTGACAGGCTTTTTTAATACTTAAAGATTAACGACAAAACTTACTTATAAAGTGGAAATTTGAGATTCAAATCCACACCCAAGCTACTTATAGTATGCTATAACTTCGTAATCATGTCCCAAATTTTGTAAATATAGAAGTAATGGAAACATTTCTCGAGGTCTTTCGTTCCACCACTAATACCTTCAAAACGAAACAGCATGAGGTCTTTCGTTCCACCTCTAATTACTTCAAAATGAAATAGCTTGTTGGTTGTTCATACTTCATACTATTCAAGTGCGAGTTTGTTTTAACTTTAAAAAATATTTCAAAATATTAGAAGTTGTTTAAATTCATTTTTTATAAATTAGAAGACTAATTTTAATATTCTATAATATAAAAAAACAATAATAACAGTTAAAATCAAAAATTAAAATAAAATAACTAAAATAACATTCTAAAAATAACTACGAAACTTTTTTGAAAAATTCTTTATAAATTTTTTTTAATAAAAATATATAAGACTACAAAAATCATTTAAAAAATCTAAAACAAACAGGAAAAAGCGATTATAAAGAAGAAACTTCCAGTGCACGTCATTGCAGGACTTTTACAAAAACCGGGGTTGTGACTGACCCAAGAGCCAGTTTGGTGGAAGGGAAAATGTGTCAGTAAGATTGTTCTTGGATTCATATTTTCAAAGCAAAGTAAGCAGCTGATGCTTTTATAAAAAATAATTAAAAAAAACTCTACCATTTGGAGGATACTTACTTCCTCTGTTTTCGTTTTCACTATTCAGGGTGGTTCAAGGTTTCGAATTAGTTTCACTATTAAGGGCGTGTCTCTTTGCAACAACAAAAAGAGATCAAGAAACATGCATCACACCGTAACGGTCCCACCATTTTATAAATGGACTCCACATAAATTAGTGAGACCAACAAGAATTTTACCCAATAAGAGAGTAAGTGTAGCACTATTCCTAATATTTTGCTAAAATCCTAGTGGTATAACCAAATTATTTGACACGGTCAATGCTTCCAGCTCCTTCCATATTCAGTCATTGAAGATATTCTAACCGCAGTATTTTACATATTTCCCAAACTTTGTAAAAGAAAAATAAACAAATAAACAGATATACCAAGCTTCAATCTCTTACTAAAAATATAGATGTTAGAACTCATAAACCATTATTCATGAAGCTGAATAAAACATTTCCAATCAAAATTTATAAGGGTGGATGTAGAGGAAACTAGACCCAATACTTTATCGAGGTCAGTGATCCTCAATCTTCTTCAATCCCTTCATGTCAGTTGTTTCAACTCTGCATCAAAGTATCAGAATTTTATGTTAATACTTTGGTTTAAATACATTTTTTAATCACTATTTAATCTAATTCAGGACATCATCAAAATTGAGCCCCAAATGCATAAGGAGAGAAAAATGTCAAAAATTTAAAAATGCCAAGACCAAAATCAAAATTTTTAAAAGGTTGACCAACAAAATTTTTAATAGGTTGACCAAAATGATGAATGATACAGAATAGGGGGATTAAAACTGTATGAAGGAATTGCATGAAAAAAAGACTGAACATACTAAAATTGCATAAAAGAATTTATTTAATTTATAGTTTCTCCACCCCTGCCTACAGAACCGACATGCAAGATATAAGTTTCAATTCCAATATGGCAATATATTAAACAGTGTTTCGACAATGTGTAGAACACGTTGCAGCTAGGAAAAACAAAAATAATATCTGATCCTATAGAGGCAACTAACAATAAAGTGGTAAACAAAAAAAATAAGGCTTCCCTTACTAGGTAAGGTAAGCTCCACGGATTATTCGACATCATAATCGATTAAATCATGTCTAACGATAAAATCATTCAAATCTCAACCCTTCTCAATGATTTGACTTGTAATTTTTATTAATCTCCTTTTACTTTTAATTAATAAGCTACTGATAGAATAGAAGTCATAGAACACCTGCGCCGAGTCCAATAGCAAAATTGACTCTAAAGCATACAATTCCGGAAAAGAGAATAAGAATTAGTTATTGACGTGGAGGACAATTCCTTGTGATTCTATTAGGAAATGATATGGAAAAAGGAAGATAGGAGTGAGGGTAGAGATTCATTCAGTCATTTAGTTAATTGTTGGAATATGAGAGATACTCTCCGGATAGGAGCTCTTAGCTCTGGTTTACTGTTATTCCTTTTTGTATGAGCATTGTGCTCATTTCCATCTAATAAAGTACATTTGCATTGATATCCATTTTTGAGAGTTCTGTCAGCTACCATTTATATGATCTATTCTCCTTACCAAGACTTGTTTATGGCTTCTGCGCATATATCCAAACCACATAAGATGAAATGTTATCACCTTATTCAGAATAGCAGCAAACCATATTTTCTCTCTACTACATTCATTCCTATGTCTTTTTAGTTGGTTGAGTAAACACGGAGAAATGAAATCCCAAATAAGGGGTGCGAACAGTAAAATGTAAGTGTTAAATGTTTTATAGTTTTTTCTTCACAGCAAAGGAAACGTAACAGAACTGAAGATAGTTTAAAACTTACGTTGATCCAATCAGCAGAATCTTCTGAACTTTCGTGACCTCAGAATCAGTCTGGTTATCCTCAATAAATATTGTCAAGCTGGTCAAGTAATTAACATGAATTAGCATCTATCCCCGTCAATTGGACAACAAAAATGGAAGCCACTATGAAAGTAGTAAAATAAGAAAAATAACACACCTGCGAACATTTTGAAATTTGACATACTTTAAAAGTGTCGGTTTCCCCTATAAAAAAATGAATTAGAAAATTGTGATGTTAGATATTCCAAATATGATAGGAAAAAAAATCAACAAATGACATTGGGCATAGTAATGGACTTGGAAGAAGACTTATGGAGCAACAACCTTGAGGTTTTCTGGTGACAAAACAGCCGTGTCGCTTGGTGGATAGTCATTGACATTACTGTCATTTTATTAGGTCATTAATAAATAATCAGCAACCAATTGAATCACAGGACACAAATGCTATGAAAATAAACAAAGCCATACCTGAACCCCATGTGCTCCTTGTTGGTAAAGAGCTTTACTGTCTTGGGACCTAATGAACAATATTATACTCCAATTACAATTATGTCAACAGAAATAAAACAAAAAACTGAAGGAAAATAGAGTGCAGTAGCAAATTGGTGAAGATAATATATGCAAATTGAAATAATATTAAGCATATCGGGATTCTAAAATGGACTGCAATTGAGGAACAAAAGGAAAGAAAACCTTAATTTGGTCTCTCGATTTGTAGGGTGCTTTAAGGTTAGTCTTTGAAATTACTTCCTCCATCATATTATAAATGCTGTTACCTTTACATTTGGATATCATGAAATAAACGGAGCAGAATGGAAAGGAGCGGAGTGGAATGGAGTGGGGCAGAATGAAGATTCCATTCCATCATTTGGGTATTTTAGGAAGGAGAAAATCAAATTCTCTGTTCCGCCCAAATCGGAGGGGAATAAATATGATGGTAAGTGATGGAATGGAATGGAATCCATACCACTTCATTCTGCTCCGATCCATCCAATTTTAATTGATCCAAACAATGGAACTTCATTTCATATCATTCCATTCCGCTCCATACCGTCACATTCCATCAATCCAAACAAAAGGTAATGCAACTTTCAAAGATCGAGGGGTAAAGTGACATTCATAAGTAACTTTTCAAAGATCGATTTGAATATTCAACTTTAAGAACTAATTTGATATTTGCCAACAGAAAGTAAAAACTGGAGTAAAATAAAATAACCAACAAGTTACAATTCCACAAATGTTTAATCAATTTCTTAATTTCTGGTGAATCACAATTTAGACATCAGTATGGGGGTTCACTGGAGGCGTACAAGTCGATCTAATTTGTCCAATCTTTTAAATTTCAAGGGATGGCTTCAATGCCACTCTATTGGGGGAAAGTGGTGCTTTCACAATTAATAATACAGTTTAGTTTTACAATGTGAATGAGGAAGTGGTTACCTTCATCTTCAGGACCTTTGATAACAATGGAATAAAGTTTAATAACTTGGGTAAAAGGAATATAAAGCAAAAGCTGCTCATCTGCATCACTTTCTAGATGCAAACCTTCATCTTCTCTATAACCCTAGTTTTCACCAACCAAAATCACAGTAAGCAACACAAAACCATAGCAAACAAATTAAGGGTTTTTGCTTCTAAACTCAATCATAGAAAAAACAAAACAGAACCTGTTTGATAGCATTGGGAAGAGAGTGAGTTGTGCTTTGATTGAGGCATTCAACACCAGTCCAATCTATGAAGTCTAAGAGATCAACCTAATCAACAGAAAGAGAATAGGAACAACTGGATCAGAAATTTTGTACCCTAAATCGAATGAGAAAAACACGATGGTTATGATGATGGTGATTAATAGGGTTTGAATCTTACTTGACCCTTGTGAATAGCGGTGGCGGATTCTCCAGACATTGCTGCTGATACGATTTGTGCGACGCGGAAAGAGAGAGATAGGAGAAGAATAGGGGAAGAGAATCAATTTCAATGCTAATAACAGCACCAACCTCGACCTTTATTTAAATATTAAAAAAAAAACTAAATATTTATAATAATATATATATAAATAAATAAAACAATTGAAAAAAGAAATTAATTGAAATGTGTCATGACTAGTAATGTTTGACTTTTTCTTTATTTTTAATCACGTATATTATTTGAAGATAATTTTCGTATTTAATCAATAGAAAATCAATAATTTAATATGTTATTAAAAAAAATTAAATTTAAAAATGATATATAATTAAATAAATAATTGTGATTAATTGACGGTGTAAAACTATTTTACACAGTATTACTTCTTTTTTCATATTATTTATGAATAGATATGACGTAGTAGATTATCTGTATCAACTATTTCTTGAAATAATATATTTTATTTAAATAATTGAATAGATATTGGAATCAAATTTTTTAATATAAAAGAATGATAATAATTTTAATTTTAAATATTTTAATTCAATAATATTTTCTTATCAACTATAAATAATTATAATTATATAACTTTAAATTCAATTTTTTTAAATATTATTTTAAAATTTTTACTTATATTTATATATTAGAAATTAAAAATATATTTTTTATTTTATTGAGTTATTTTTCATCTCATACCAACCATAATATAAAAAAGTAACTTGAGACATCGAATAATAGAACAAATTAACATATATTATTTAAGATTCTATATAAAATAGGGCAACTAACTCATAATTAAGTTAAATTGACCTGGATCAACCCATCAAAATTATATCATTTAAAAAGCTACACCAAATATCATTTAAATGCATATTTAATCATTTGAAATCACCAATCAAATTATATTATTCTTTTTAGATAGGAGGAACATACAAAAAAAATTGGTGTTGTAATTTAGTGTTTTTATAATTCATAAATTGTTTGCTTGATATTAAACTGATCACTTGTAGTGGCGTTGGCTATTTAAGCAAGGAAATAACAAGATTAAGATGATGGAAATATCTCAATGACGTGATAATCAATATCAATATGTTTGGTATCGTCGGTAAATGATGGATTATGGGAACATAAGTGGTTGGTGTGTTGTCTGAGTAGACAAAGGTTGAATTGTTAAATGTTATGTTAGACAACGGTGCCTTATTTAGAAGGGAGTGAATCGACCATCAAGCCAAAAATTTAGATAAAAATACTGGTTTTAAAAGTGATTAAGAAAGAGTGCACACACTTGGTTAGAGAGAGAAACTCTTTCTTCTCTCTAAAAATTAGGGTTGTGGTTATGGATGGTCGTCGCTATAATACCCTATTTCCCCGTCGGTGATTTTAATAAAAAAATAGAGTAAATTAATTTCTAAAATAAACATACAAATAGGATGTCACATCGTCATACATCATACATGCTCAATAAACAGGATACGTAACACAAAATCACAAACTTCCAAAGTCTTATATTGTGAACTGTTTGGTTCGATTTTTTGCAATTTGTTTGAAGCGGTGTTCCTCACGAAGCTCGGAGATTGGAGATGAATAGCATGCTTATAGTAACGTTTTGTGTAATTTTGACAAGAAGACATGAAATCGTGTATTTGGATTTGAATGAATTTGCTTGCCATTTTGATAATTTTTTTAATAGACTTTGAATGAAACTTGTTTTAATTTCTCTTTTAAAAAGGCTGATTTAAACCTTGGACCACTTGTGATAGACTTGAACAATGTTGTAATGAGCATGAAGTTTAAAATGATATTTGCTAGATATTTGAAAACCTTGACTCCATATTCATTTCAACATGCTTGTTATGACATCCTTGAAGACTTTTGCAATATTGAATCCTCACCACCTTAATTCTTCAATTCACATCAATCTTGCATCATAAGTAACAAGCTATAAGAGAGAGAAAAAAACCTTGATCTTAATGAATCTTTTGCCCATTTCTTGCACTTCAATCCACAAGGTTATATTTATTTAATGATTAGTATAATAACAATGCCTTGAAGAATCCTTTGATGAAGATAAAACTTAAAGTGTAGAAAGAAGCACAACCACCAAGAAGTTCTTTGACATGAAACTCTAAGCAGACGATCCTCAGATGATGATCATACACAAGATAACAACCTTAAACTCTTGATGATCCTTGATGGAGAATAACCTTGTAGCTTGATGAAGAAAAATTCACGACAACCATAAATCAAAAACCCAATTCCACACTTCACTGCTTGCAAAAAAATAGCCAGAAGAATCAAACTTTATTGGATATATACAACCAAATATTGTGAAACCCTGATATTGCTAGATCATCGATCCTTTGAACCCATGATACTTTTTTTGAATGAAATGTTATGTTAATGACCTAATGGAATGTACGCAGATGAATGCAAAAACCTAAGCCAGATAAAAGTAAAATCGGGAGGGCAAATTTTTCGGTGAACACATGTTACTTTTGATGAGTCTTGTCCGAAAAATGTCAAAAAATGTATTTCTTTTCATGGTACAAGTGCATCTACAGAAGACATGCTCAAGGATACTAAAGAAGGAATTGATCAACCTGAGTCGGTGAAATCTGAGGAGGAGGAAGATGAAGACCCTGAGAAGAAGAAATATAAAAGTCAAAATAAAGAGGTTGATATTCCCTTAGAGTGGAGAACTTCCAAGGATCATACTATTGACAACATTATTGGAGACATCACCATATGAGTAAATACTCGTTCTAAGATAAGTAATTTATGTTATCACTTTGGATTTGTGTTTCAAGTTGAACCTAAAATGCGAAAGATGCCTTACTTAATAGCATTGTCTTATGGCCATGCAAGATGAGCTAACTCAATTTTAAAGAAATGATGTATGAGACCTTGTCCCTCGTCCTCGATATCGTCAAGTCATAGGCACCAAGTGGATTTTTAGAAATAAACTAGACGAACATGAAGTGATAACTAGGAACAAGGCTCGACTAGAGGCTCAAGGATATAACCAAGAGGAGGGCATTGATTATGAGGAAACTTATGCTCTGGTTGCCCAACTCGAGGCTATACTCCTTTTACTAGCTTTTTCATGCTCTACGAATTTCAAGTTATTTCAAATGGATGTGAAAAGTGTTTTTCTTAACAGACACATTAATGAGGAAGTGTATGTTTCACAACCTCCTAGTTTTGAAAATCATTAGTATCCTAATCATGTTTATAAGCTAAAACGTGCTTTGTATGGTCTCAAATAAGACCAGATGGCTTGGTATAAGCGGCTTAGCAAGTTTTTACTTGATCAAGAATACTCTAAAGGCAAGGTAAATACAACACTCTTTATTAAACATAAAGGAAAACACATACTTCTAGTTCAAATTTATGTTGACGATATCATATTTGGCTATACTAATGTGCATTTAGTCAAGGAGTTTTCTAAGCTTATATAGGGGGAATTTGAGACGAGTCTAATGGGGGAGTTGAATTACTTTCTCGGACTTCAAATCAATCAACTTAATAAAGGAACATTCGTGTATCAAATAAATTATTGTCACGAATTGCTAAAACAATTTGGTATGGATGAGGCAAAATCAATTGACACTTCAATGCCAACAAATGGTAACTTGGATAAAGATGTAAATGGTAAGGTTGTGTATGTCAAGAAATATAGAGATATGATCTCTTATATATCTTATTGCATCTAGGTCTAACATTATGTTTAGTGTTTGTATGTGCGCTCGATATTAATCGGCTCCTAAGGAATCACATTTAAAATCAGTTAAGCACATCCTTAGATACCTTCATGGTACATCTAAGTACGGGCTTTGGTACTCCAAAGAAAATGATTATAGTTTGGTTGGTTATTCCGATTCTGATTTTTCTAGTTACAAATCAGATAGGAAAGTTACTAGTGGAACTTGCCACATGTTTTCAAATTCCTTAGTTAGTTGGCGTAGCAAGAAACAAGTTTCCATTTCTTTATCAACAGCCGAGGCGGAATACGTCGCGGCTGGTAGTTGTTGCACTCAAATTTTATGGCCCAAATAACAATTACTTGACTTCGATATTAAACTTTCATGTATTCCTATTATGTGCGAAACACTAGTACAATTAACCTAACCAAAAATATGGTGTTACCTTATCACACTAAGCATATCGAGATACGTCACCACTTCCTACGTAACCATGTTGAAAAAGGGGATGTTGTATTTGAGCATGTTGATAGTAAAAATTAACTTGCAGATATCTTTACGAAACCTCTTGCAACTGAACCATTTTTCAACATTTGAAGAGAATTGGGGATTCTTGATATCTCAAATGTTGCCTAAATACATTTGTTGCATGCACTCTATATACATTTGCCCTAACTTTCATTTGATATTTTCATACTAAACGAGTGCATCCTCCATTTCATTCATCTATGAGGTAATTTCATTCCATTTTTTTCTCTTGAAAGTAAGCCTTTTTACCATTGCAATATTGTTTTGTTCCAAATGCTTGATATGCTCAATATATGATGTATTTCATGAATGTTCACTTCCAAAAATTTCAATTGACAACCATGGTGTGTTTTCAATTTATATGCTTATAGTAACTTCATGATATTGATTCTTTCTCATTTCAAGTATATGTTCTTGTTGTACAAGCATGTTTTCTATTATTATTCCTTGCATTTCATGTAAGCTTGTTATCTACTCATTCGCGCATGAATTAATTTGTGCATGTTATCGTGCAAACACAATTCTTAATCAAGTCATGTCACATGTTATGAGAGCATCTTTGGTTTTGTTTTTAGTGATGATATATTTTTCGCCAAGCTAGGCACATGCGTGTGCAGCATCAAGAGCACCATTGTGAAGTGTTGAGTAATCGTGACATTTTTTAAGCGACTTAAGAGTTTGCTCTTACATTGCATTCATTATCTTTCATGACTTTGTATTTGATATTATAGTAATGAGTATTTCCTTTTATTTATGATTAATTTTGCGTCA